CGGGGGGGCCCGGTGGCCGGCGCGGGAGGTGGAAGCGCCGCCGGCTCCTGTGCGCCGGGGCAGCCCGGGGAGGGAAAATGATGTGGCAGAAACAGGAGCAGAAGGGAGGAGTTGTGTCTCCGACGGGCGTCCTCTGGCTCGCCGTGCTGCGGCGCCGGGCAGGGAGAGCCGACGGGTCCAGTCCTGGCTGCCCCCGACATCGTCAGTGTCCCCATCAGGCAGGGAAGGGAGGGCACCCGGGCTCTCGCCAGCTGCGGGGAATTGTTGGGAATTACGGTTGGGAAAAGCCTTTGGAGGGCGGATGGCCCGGTGATGCCTTTCTAAACCTGGATGGATGCAGCCCCCATGCTGCTGATGCTCGAGGTCCTCCTAAGCAGCTGCAGGGCAAGAGGAGCCAGGTCGTGATTGCCGAAACCTGGGATCCAGGGAACGGCCGCGGCAAACCGAGGCCTGCCAGCATCGCCCTGCTGCTGGGAGGAGCCCCCAGCAGCCTCCGTGTGACCTGGGGTTCATCACGGAGACTGAGCGGGGCACCCCGGCGAGCCCCAGGGGAGGCAGCCGAGCCAAACCCTTCCCTTGGGCACCTTGGAGGTGATGGGGGCAGGGCAGCGGAGGATGCATCCCTGAAGGGCAAACGGCAAGAGAGCGCTTCTCCCGTCCGCTCACCCTGTAGCCAGACACCCGCTCGGAGACTGACAGCCTGTCGATCCATAGCTCGCTCCCCAGACAGCTAGTGGGAATCCCAGCGTCCTTATTTTTCCTCGATAAGAATAGACCTAGTTCCTTGCCAAGGCGATGCCCACGGGCGTGCTGGTGGGCACATGGCTTGTGTTTCACACCCGTCCCTACCCAGCAGCTTGCCTGGCCTCGCGGGAGGTGTCGGGTCAGGGATGTCAGGTTTGTAAGTGGCCGCCGGTTGCCTTTGTGGCCGCAGGTGAGACAGCCCACCTCTGCCAGGGAGATGGAGAGAGAGCGCGGCCAGGGGGATTAACCAATGTCTGGGAAATGCTACATTAATGCAACCTTCTGCAGCTTAATCTGCATATATCCAGGGCTGCTGGATGATTTTGCCTCCGACTTCCTTTCTCTTCGGCAGACACAAACCGCTCCTTTGTTTGCACCAACAATGAAGCACACACTTGCCCAGGAAGGGTGGGCAGTGCCAGAGCGGGGGGCACCCGGCACTGGCCGGGCGAGGTGGGGCTGTGCCGAGAAGCAGCTCGCCCTCGCCACGCTGCTCTGGATTTAGTCTCCTGCTGCCTGGGAGGAGGCAAAGATACCCTCTAGGATGCTTCGGCTCCCCTCCCCCAGCCCGCCCGGTTTCTCCCGCTCTCCGCAGCCTTTGCCATCTTCGTGGTGTCCTCTGAAGATGCGGCTGTGGAGCGTGGTGAGGCTCTGAGCTGCTGGCTGGGGGCAGCAGCACAGTCCCTGCCCGGAGGAAGAAACGTGCGGTGGGATTAGAAAAAACTCAGA